CTGGCGGTTGCGGCGGCAGGGGCAAGGAGAAAAAGGAACACGAGGAGAAATCTGCAAAGGGTGGGGTATGAGAGGGACTGCGACTTGGGGGCCTAGCAGGCAGTTTCGGCAGGGAGGCGCTGGAGCATCGCCCTCATCTTGAAAATGGCAGCCCACTCAAAGCTTTCAGGGGGTGCGTCAGGCAACACAGGAGGCAGCGTAAGCTTTTTCTGTTGTTTGTTGTTTGTCTTTGTTCTTTTACCGCGCTGCGCCGCTAGCCTAGGCTATGCCGCGCAGCCCGCGAGGCGAAGGAGGCGCAGCCCGCCTCCCTGCGCCGCCTGGAGACGGGCGGGCTCGACGTCGGTCGCCCCGTCGCCCCCTGGAGCTCTTCCCCAGGACCTCCAGGACATCTGGCGGGAGACGTCGAGGACGCCCAGGAAAGGTCTCCCGGAGACCTCCCCGCTGGAGGTCTCCCAGAGAGGTCTCCCAGAGAGGTCTCCCAGAGAGGTCTCCCAGAGAGGTCTCCCAAAGAAAAGTCCAGGAAGGTCTCCCAGAGAGGTCTTCCGGAGACCCTCCGGGGAGCTCCAGGAGGCCTCCTAAGGAGCACCCGGAAGCGCCGTTCGCCTGGCGTTCCTCCGTGCTCTCCAGCCACCAATCGCTGGCAACTCTGACGTCGGTCAGGCGCGGCGTCCGTTACGGGGGAGGGGCGGGGGGCGCGGCGGAGCAGGGGGGCGGCGAGGGACGAGAGGGGGACGAGAGAGACGAGAGAAACGAGAGAGAGGCCACAGGGGAGAGGTGGGGGAGCAGGGGGTGGAAGAAGGGAGGAGGACGCCTGACGGGATTGGAGGCGAATGCAGGGGGGAGCGGGAGACAGGTGGAACGCGACAAGTGGAGGAGGAGCGGAGCACACGGTAGGAATAGCGCGAGAGGAACGAAAGCGGGGGCGCGGGGGGTGCGGAGGCAAGGAAGCGTGCCCAATCAGACTTCAACACCGCGGATCAGCCTTACAGCTGCGACCCGACAATCCTGAATCTTGCCAGAACACCATTCCTTGGACTTCACCACCGCGAATCAACGTGACTGATGCGACCTGACGATCCTGAATCTTACCAAAACACCGTTCTTGGGACTTGCACACCGCGAATGAATGTGACGGCTGCGTCCTGATTATCCGAAATCGTGCAGCACACCGATCCTGGGACTTCAACACCGCGAATCAACGTGACTGCTCCGTCCTGGTAATTCTAGATCGTGCTAGAAGACCATTCCTGGGAATGCACCCCTACGCGTCCTTGGAACTGCTGCAAACTTTACACATGAATGCGCCCGGCACTGAGGCGAGAACCACCTTTGAAAACCAACTGACCTCCATCCTCGAAACTGTCGCAAGCTTTCACAACAAGTGCGCACGACGCCAAAGCGAAAGCCACATGTTGCAAAAGATCCGCCCACTGTTGCAAATTTGTCACACGAATGCGCGCGGCGCTACAGCAAGAGCCACATCTTGAAAACCTCTGGCAGTGCACCCTTGAAATTGTTAAAGACATGCGTAATGAATGTGCGCAGCGCACGAGCGAGAGCCACATGTTGAAAAACACCCGCCCACAACCGTTGAAACTGTTGTAAATGTAGAGCTCCAGAAACGCCCTACCGACACGTGCGAGGGTGCGACAAGGAGAAGTTGTTCAAAATAGAAGGAATGGAAGAGAAGGAGTAAGAGCCGTCCAAACCCAAGACGCATCAAGGGTGCTCGAAAATTAGCCTGACGAAGGACCCATTCATATGCAGCTGCGAGTACTGGGAGGGAGATGAGACGAAATAGGGGGGCGCGCAAACTCCGAGTAGCGCACGCAATATAGCCCAAACGGCTGCGAGTACCGCGAGGGAGATGAGACGAAGAAGGGGGGGGCAGCAAAAGGACTGCGGCGTGTATGAGGGGGAGAAAAACTTACGCGGGCGAGCAGGAGGCCTTCTTGGTTTGGTCCGAGCCCCGTGCGCGTCAGTATTGTCTCAATGCTATCCCCGCCGCTTCCTCTTCCACCCCTGTTTCCGTTGCGCGTTGCACTCCTACCCGCCTGGCCCGCGGCTGCCCGAGCCCTCGGCGTCGAAATGGGGGTGAAACTGCATGCGAAACCCTGCCACTGGGGCCTTCGGAGGAGCCCCCCATGAGGCCACGAAGCGCGTGAGGGGTGTGCCGAGATGAGGGTGGACCTGCATGCGAACCCTGCCTCAAAGGCCTTCGGCACAGCTCCCTATATGGCCACGAACCGTGTGAGGGATGCGCCGAGATGAGGGTGGAGCTGCATTCGTACCCTGCCACTGGGGCCTTAGGTGGAGCTCCCTATGGGGCCACGCACCGTGTGAGGGGTGCGCCGAGATGAGGGCGGAACTGCATGCGAACCCTGCCGCTGGGGCCTTCGGTGGAGCCCCCTATGGAGCCACGAACTCTGTGAGGGGCGCGCCGAAATGAGGGTGGAACTGCATGCGAACCCTGCCAACGTGGCCTCCGGTCGAGCTCCCTATGGGGCCACGAACCGTGTGAGGGGTTGCGCCGAGATGAGGGTGGAACTGCATGCGAACCCTGCCACTGGGGCCTTCGGTGGAGCTCCCTATGGGGCCACGAACCGTGTGAGGTGTGCGCCGAAATGAGGGTGGAAGTGCATGCGAACCTTGCCGGTGTGGCCTTCGGTGGAGCTCCCTATGGCGCCACGAACCGTGTGAGGTGTGCGCCGAGATGAGGGTGGAACTGCATGCGAACCCTGCCACTGGGGCCTTCGGTGGAGTTCCCTATGGGGCCACGAACCGTATGAGGGCGTGCAGGAATGGGCTCGGAACGATGACGATGATGGCGATGATGACAGCTCTGATGGTGATGACGATGGTGATTACGATGACGGTGATGAGTTTGATGATAATGTGATGATGATGGTGAGAAATAATGACGCTAATGATGATGATAATGATGATACTGATGACGATGACGATGATGATGTTGGTGATGGTGATGATGATGATGATGATGATGATGATGATGATGATGATGATGATGATGATGATGATGATGATGATGATGATGATGATGATGATGATGATGATGATGATGATGATGATGATGATGGTGATGAGGGTGATGATGAGGATGATGATGATGATGATGGGAAGAGGGAGAAGGGGGAGGATCTCTGTGGGTGTGACGGGCGGGAAAGAGGAAGCGCGAGGCGTGTCCCAACAAACTTAGCCTGACGAAGGACCCAACCATGTGCAGTTGCGAGTACCGCATTGTGGGTACCGGTTTCGGTGAAGCTCCCTATTGGGGCCACGAAACTTGTGAGGGGTGCGCCGAATTAGGTGGCGCGGACGCATGTGGACACCGCCACTGGGGCCTTCGGTGTAGCTCCCTATGGGGCCACGAAACGATGCCCTGGGCGAGGGAGACGCATGCGAACTGCGCCATTGGAACCTTCGGGGAGGCGCATGCGAACTGCGCCTCTGGCGCCTTCGGTGGAGCTCCCCTATGGAGCCACGAAACGCTGTCCTGGGCGGGGGAGACGCATGCGAACACCCCGATTGAGACCTTCGGTGGAGCTCCCTATGGGGCCACGAAACGCTGTCCTGGGTAGGGGAGACGCATTCGAACACCCCCACTGGGGCCTTCGGTAGAGCTCCCAATTGGGTTACGAAACGCTGCCCTGGGTGGGGGAACCGCATGCGGGCACCCCCACGAGGGCCTACGGTGGAGCTTCCTATGGGGCCACGAAGCGCTGCATTGGGTGGGGGAACCGCATGCGGGCACCCTGGGGCCTTCGGTAGAGCTCCCCATGGGACTACGAAGCGCTGCCCTGGGTGGGGGAACCGCATGCGGACACCCCCACTGGGGCCTTCGGTGGAGCTCCCTATGGGGGCTACGAAACGCTGCCCTGGGTGGGGGAACCGCATGCGGACACCCCCACTGGGGCCTTCGGTGGAGCTCCCTATGGGGCTACGAAACGCTGCCCTTGGTGGGGGAACCGCATGCGGACACCCCCACTGGGGCCTACGGTGGAGCTCCTTATGGGGCCACGAAACGCTGCCCTGGGTAGGGGAAACCGCATCCGGACACCCCCACTGGGGCCTACGGTGGAGCTCCCTATGGGGCCACGAAACGCTGCCCTGGGTGGGGGAACCGCATGCGGGCACCCCCACTGGGGCCTACAATGGAGCTCCCTATGAGGCCACGAAACGCTGCCCTGGGTAGGGGAAACCGCATGCGGACACCCCCACTGGGGCCTACGGTGGAGCTCCCTATGGGGCCACGAAACGCTGCCCTATATGGGGGAACCGCATGCGGACACCCCCACTGGAGCCTACGATGGAGCTCCCGATGGGGCCACGAGACGCTACCCTGGGTGGGGGAACCGCATGCGGACACCCCCACTGGGGCCTACGATGGAGCTCCTTATGGGGCCACGAAACGCTGCCCTGGGTGGGGGAACCGCATGCGGACACCCCCACTGGGGCCTTCGGCGGAGCTCCCTATGGGGCCACGAAGCGCTGCCCTGGGTGGGGGAACCGCATGCGGGCACCCCCACGGGGGCCTACGGTGGAGCTTCCTATGGGGCCACGAAGCGCTGCCTTGGGTGGGGGAACCGCATGCGGGCACCCCCACTGGGGCCTTCGGTGGAGCTCCCTATGGGGCCACGAAGCGCTGCCCTGGGTGGGGGAACCGCATGCGGACACCCCCACTGGGGCCTTCGGTGGAGCTCCCTATGGGGCTACGAAACGTGAGAGGTGTGCCGAGAGCAGAGGCAAGGAGGGGGAGACGGGAGAGGGAGGAGGGGGAGGAGGGAAGGAAGGAGGAAGTAAGAATGAACGCGGGGCGCTGTCTCTTCAAAACGAGGACCCAACACCACAGGATGGTTGGGAAAAAATGAAGAGGCCCAAGCGTGATGATACGCATGGCGGCAATGCATGATTGGCAACTGGATACCGCCATACGTGTTCTCTGATTTCGACGTTCGACCTAACTGGGTGTTGCAGCACAT